GAGCTCGACGCGGGGCCCGATCCCAGGACCTTGGGATCATGACCTGAGCCGAAGGCAGACGCCCAACGACTGGGCCACCCAGGCGCCCCCAAATAGATTGTTTTAAAGTAATGAAGATTTTAGGGACGCCTGGGTGGCTCAGTCGGTTAAGCATCTGCTTTCGGCTCAGGTCATGATCCCACGGTCCTGGGATTGAGCCATCAGGCTCCTGCGCTCAGCGGGGATCCTGCTTCTCCCTCTGCCTGCTGTTCCCCCCTGCTCACTCCCTCTCTTTCTAATACATAAATAAAATCTTAAAAAAAAAAAAAAGTAATGAAGATTTTAGGAAGAAAGCTCCACACAAAACTTTGAAAACATAACTATTAATTGCTTAACCTTTACTTCATATAGCGGGGTGTTCTGGTACCCTTTAAGGTTTATGGGTAGGTGGTGATGTTTTTAATGGAACTGTGTATTGAAAAAACTTTCCCCCCCCCATTTTTACAGACAGGAAAACTCATTTTGAAACCTAGGCCTCATGTTCAGTGACAATCTGCACTCATTGTTACGGGACCTAAAACAGCCTTTCTTCAAATAAGTGATACAGCAAAAAGCCATAAAGGATTCCTTTTACAGTTGGATCTGTGAAGGTCATAGCAACAACTGACAAGAAGTGTGCAATATTTACCCAGATGATCTCGATGATGACTTGCCTCGTCCGTGCTGGTACCTTTGATTATCTGTTACAGTATTAGTGTCACTTTAGTACTTCAGACCCTGCAGAGACTTTTGCAGATGAAGTATGTCTGTATGTTACTAAGTTAAACTTAGAAACAGAACCTCATCCAGTTTTTATAATGTATTTTTGCAAACTACTGTAAATAGCAAATCAATGCCAATGTCAAAGAGGGAAGCGTTCTGTGGACTTTGTTCTCCTGCACAGTATCGTAGGGGCATGTTTGCCATCCCCACGGCTCTTTGAACCCAGCTATCTCACATAGCTGTGCCTTTCATTCTTCCCCCCCTCGGTTTTAATCATAATGCAAGAAAAACATTGGATTGAGTGTAAACTGAGGAAGACTCATCTCCATTGTGTTGTGAGAAATTAATAGATGTTCTGAGAAACCATTTTTGTTAAACCAGATAGTGAACTTCAGCCACTCTTACGGTAACCATTTCCAGTTTGTTCTTTTCCTTGAATGCTAAATATACTTTATATTTTTTTAATAATTTTAAGAACACTCCAAAAGCTTCTGAACATACAAGTTTAGTTATAAATTATGTACTGTCTGGGAATTTGATAGTCCTCGTTCTAGATCACTGCATCTTCGCCGTGGCGGGCGGGCTGTTACACTGGTGTTGCGTGGGTGTGATCAGCCGCTCCGTCACGGGGGTGACTTGGGAGCAGCGCCCCAAACTACAGTCTACAATTCTCACTGTTCCGAGAGTGTTAATGACATACTGTGTATGCATTTTAGCCACCTGTACTATAATTGCCCTTTATCTTAAACTATTGGGATTGCTGTAAATATTTTAAAGAACTGGAGGTGCCTTTTACCTGTTTATTAGAAGATTTTGAAAAGGTTTAAATTATTTCACGAGCAGTCTTTTAAATTCCACTTAACATAAAGCTGAAAATTCACTCACAGGACAAAAACTTTTTAACAAGGCTACCATTTAACTTAACTGTGTTCATCTTGGCTTTCACCTGTATAAGATTTTATTCTTGAAACTGCAGCAATAAGAAAGACCCTCTGCTCCTACAAAGTCATCAGAGGGTATTCTATATATTCGGCACTGTTTGATTTTCTGTAAATTTTGTAGGTAAATATGTGCATAAAAATAAATACTTTATATATAATTAGTGATCGGGCTTTTTTCCTTGATTCATGTTAAAAACATGGCACATGTGTCAGATACGGGCTAGTTCCAAATGAGATATCTTACTTTAACTCTTCCTATAAGAGCAAGTTTCAAGTAGCAATTGTAGATCTCCAGTTTATTAAGCTGTGATTACCTTTAATATGTCTTACTTATCATTGTGTAATGACATTTGGCTCCTAATCAGGAAATGCAGGTTTCCTCCATTGTGCTTTACAGATTTGGATTGACTAATTCCTCTAAAAATGTAAAGCAGAAGAAGGATTTTATAGATCCTTAATCCTTTTTGGAATAATCAAGTACTTTGAATATTTAATGAGAGCCTTGAATCTTTTCCCCAAAAAAATACACCTGTGTGTGTACATATACTTTGCATGCTTTCAAGGATTTCCTTCTTTTCTTCTTAAGATTTTATTTATTCAGGGCATCTGGGTGGCTCAGTTGTTAAGCGTCTGCCTTTGGCTCAGGTCATGATCCCAGGGTCCTGGGATCGAGCCTGCATCAGGCTCCCTGCTCAGCGGGAAGCCTGCTTCTCCCTCTCCCATTCCCCCTGCTTGTGTTCCTTCTCTCTCACTGTCTGTCTCTCTCTGCCAAATAAATAAAAATCTTAAAAAAAAAAAGGCTTTATTTATTCATTTTGAGAGAGAGAGCACAAGCCGGGGGTGGGGAGAGCAGAGGGAGAGGGAGAAGCAGACCCCCCACCAAGTAGGGAGCCTGATGTGAGACTCAATCCCAGGACCCTGAGATTATGACCTGAGCCGAAGGCAGATGCTTAACCAACTGTGCCACCCAGGCGCCCTGCTTTCAAGGATTTCTTGATGTTAGACTGCTTGGAATCTGTTCACTCCAAGAAAGAAACTTTTGTTCCAAAGATTTTTCATCCCCTTACTTCTAGCAGAACATTTTCCAAAAAAGTCCGGTCTAGTTGAAATGGACAAAGTATCACCCTTTCATGCCCCCTTCCGTGCTATGGAAATTACTGGTTGAGTCCAGCCCCATATTACAGGTGGGGAAGACAGTCTCAGATTTTCAGAGTGCCTTTATTATGGCTCTCCCCAACTTACTAAAGACAGAACTAGCACCAGAATCCAAGTCTCTTGACTCAGATCGAAAAGATGTTTGTGTGTGTGTGTTGAACTTAATTCAGGAGCCATTAAAATGTGATGATTAAGAATGTAGATTCTTGGGGCGCTTGGGTGGCTCAGTCGGTTAAGTGTCAGTCTTTGGCTCAGGTCATGATCTCAGGTTCCTGGGATCAAGCCCCAAGTTGGGCTCCCTGCTCAGCGGGGAGTCTGCTGCTCCCTCTCCCTCTGACCCTCCCCCCCAACTCGTGCCCTCTCAAATTAATAAATAAAATCTTAAAAAAAGACTGTTATTCCAGAATTTCTGGATTTGAATCTCAGATGTACTACTTGCTTGTTTTGTGACTTCAGGCAAAGTATGTAGCCTTAGTTTCCTCGTTTATAAATTGGACATAATGCCAACCATCCAGGTTTATATCAAGTATGCTATAGAGTCTGTACTCTGTAAATCTAGTTGTTAAATTAAATCCTAAAAGAAAACAACTCATTGTTGGAACTTTACCCAGTGTCAACATCTCAGTTGAGATAACCATGCGGAAATTCTGCTTATCTTTTGAATCAAGGAAACTCTTGAGTAGTGGACTAAATGCAGAGAGAAAGGATTTTTGGCCCCTAATGATTAAGAAACCTAAAATGGTTCTAGGTGTTTTCCACTTAAGCAGCCTCACTGAAAACATCAAGGCTTGTGACTCCCCGATAGTGCTGTTTTTTGAAGAGCGCTTTTCTCCTTTAGAACTGGACTCTTGATTGATGTTTTCTTTAAGTTGTGTGTGTGTTTTTTTTAAGATTTTATTTATTTGAGAGAGAGAGTGAGTGAGCGAGAACACAAGCAGAGGCAGAGGGAGAGGGAGAAGCAGACTCCCCTCCTGAGCAGGGAGCCCAATGCGGAACTTGATCCCAGGACTCTGAGATCATGACCTGAGCTGAAGGCAGATGCTTAACCGACTGAGCCACCCAGGTGCCCCTAAGTTGTTTTTTTCTTTGTTTTGTTTTGTTTTCTTAAGTAATCTCTATACCACATGTGGGGCTTGAACTCAAGACCCTGAGATCAAGAGTCATGTGTTCAGGGGTGCCTGGGTGGCTCAGTCAAGTGTCTGCTTTTTAGCAGACATATGAAAAATGTGTGAGGTAGACTCTGCCCTCTCAGTCCCCCACATGCAGACCAATGATCCAGCAGTTACCATGTTTTTTAAATGCTATGACAGGTTAAGTGTAGATGCCCAGGGGAAGGGGGTCCAGCCTGCACTGGGCTCTCTAAAAAAAGTTCTTTCCAAATGGATCTGTAGGGTCACTGGGGGCGCACACATGCGGTTTTTGAGTGTGGCTGGCAGCATGGAGTTGGAGAGGGGTTGTGGCGAGAGATGAGACTGGAAGGAAATAGGAACCCGCGGTCAGGAGGACTGTGAGGGCAGTGGGAAGCCACCGAGAGTTTTGAGTAGGGCCGTGACAACTGGGTTTGCATTTGATGACGATGACCACTGTGGACTGAAGGGACATGGCCTGGGAGCTGCTGCTACAGTTCAGGGGCTCTTGGACTTGCACACACGTGGGCTCTTGATTTGTGTTCGGCAAGGCGGACCAGAGGAGTGAGAGCTTTTGGAAGTCACATGAGTGAGGCCCAGTGGGAGCCAGAGAGGGGTAGCACTTGAGCATGAAGCCCACCACCCTTTCTCGTCCCATGTATCCTGTTAACAGAAATAAAGGTTCTGTGATCACCCATTTTGGGAACATCCTCCTCTTGGAGATTCCCCATGCTCCAAAGTTTATTAAAAGCTCCAAGAAGCCCTGCAGTAGAGAAACGGCTTCTGCCTGTTTCCCTGCCATTTTGTGACCTGTTAGTACTCACTGTGGTTACTTGGTTTCTATCTACCAAGCTCCTGTTGAGTACTCTTGCTGGGTTTAGGGAATAGCAGCCAAATCAGTCCAGCTTCTCCCAGACAACCGAGAACACACCCTTGACTCCTTTGCATCTAGGACGTGGCCATGTGGGGAGGCTGGAAAGCTGCGTTTCTGTTTCAGGGTGCTTAGTGGTGCTTGCTGGTGGTGGCCCCGGTTTCATCAGGCCAGTTGGATGGCATGAGTTTGGGCATTTTTTTTTTTTTTCTAAGTTTGGTCTTAGACTGGTCTCTGTAGACCTCCCCAAAATTCTCTGAGTTACCCAATGTCCTTTCAGTGATACGTTTCCTGTTTAATCAAAGTTGGCTTCTACTTGCGACTAAGCCCCTGACCTACACAGAAGCAGTGTTCCAAGGAGCACACTTTGAGGAGAGTTGATCTGTATAGAGGACTCAGGCGCTGCTTCAAACTGAGCATGATGTTGTCTGCCCGGTCAGGGGACTCCAGGCCATGTGTAGTGGAAGAGCCCCAGCGGCAGGTTGACTGGTTTGTAATCCTGGTTCATCCATTAGCCACTTAGGGGCCGGTGACTCATTCTCTCTGAACCTTACTGTCCTCATTTGGGCCTATACGTAGCTGTCTTGCAGAACTGTAAGGACTAATGAAATAATGTATGTAAGATCTATAACTTCCTGGGTGTTTTTATTACAAACAGATTTTTATTTTAAGTCCCTATTCTGTCATATTTAGATTTTCAGTACCCAAGAGCCCCTAGCAAGATGCTCAATGACTATCCGTTGAATGAATGAATCTTGACTTTGGTATTGAAAATGGGTCTGTACATAATTACACTAAAAAATCACTTTCCTCACATAATTTGCTTATCTAGTTTTGGGAGAGGTTACTTTTTTAAAAAATACTTTTAACTATCTCTACACCCAACATGGGGCTTGAACTCAACCCCAAGATCAGGAGTCACACACTCCACTGACTGAGCCAGCCAGGGACCCCTGGTTTTGGGAAAGGTTCTTTTTTTTTTAAAGATTTTATTTATTTATTTGACAGAGACAGAGACACAGCGAGAGCAGGAACACAAGCAGGGGGAGTGGGAGAGGGAGAAGCAGGCTTCCTGCCGAGCAGGGAGCCCCATGTGGGACTCGATCCCAGGACCCTGGGATCATGACCTGAGCAGAAGGCAGATGCTTAATGACTGAGCCACCCAGGCATCCCGTAAATAAAATCTAAAAAAAAAAAAGACTGGGGCACCTGGGTGGCACAGATGGTTAGGTGTCTGCCTTTGGTTCAGGTCATGACCTCCAGGTCCTGGGATCGAGCCCCGTGTTGGGCTCCCAGCTTGGTGGGGAGTCTGCTTCTCCCTCTCTCTGCCTCTCTCCCTGCTTGTGCTCTCTCTGTCTCTCTCTCAAAAGAGTAAATAAAAAAATCTTAAAAATAAAAAAAAAGACTAAATGCTAAGATTTGCCCTTTTTTTTTTCCTAGAGAGGGAGTTGGAGAGGGGGAGAGAATCTTAAGCAAGATCTCACAATCCTGGGGCACCTGCGTGGCTCAGTCGTTAAGCATCTGCCTTCAGCTCAGGTCATGATCCTAGGGTCCTGGGATCGAGCCCCGCATCGGGCTCCCTGCTCCGCGGGAAGCTTGCTTCTCCCTCTCCCACTCCCCCTGCTTATGTTCCCTCTCTCGCTGTGTCTCTCTCTGCCAAATAAATAAGTCAAATCTTTAAAATAAAAAAAGATCTCACAATCCTGAGATCATGACCTGAGCCAAAATTAAGAGTCGGACACTTAACCGATGAGCCACCCAGTTGCCCCACCTTTTTTTTTTTTTTTAAGTAATCTCTACACCCAACGTGGATTCGAACTCATGATCCCAATATCAAGAGTTGCATGCTCCACCGACTGAACCAACCAGGAGCCCTTAAGATTTGTCATTTAAATAACAGTAGGAAAACTAAAATAACTTAGTTTATTATAACTTCATTAACTCAAATGAGAAATATATCCTTGTTAGAAGTTGCTTTTTAAATTTTAAGTTATCAGGGTGCCTAGGTG